TTGCATCAGACTCATAAATGAATAGACAAGCAGTGTCTTTCTCAAGCATATGTTCAAGAATCTGGTGCCTCCGTTTGTTATCTCTGCATTAAGTTTTCCATTGTAAGTTACCTATTACAAACATATGTATTAATTTTAATGATGGATAAATGAGATGAATTTTGACACAAACTACCAACATGATAATATTTACAAAACAATGCACACTGTCTAGATATTCCTCAGATCACTACTCCTAAATTCTCTTGTTGTATTCCATAATGTCTTCTTTATTGTAGATTTTCCTCAATTGAAAACATTTATTACAGAATGAGACTGTCCATTTCTCTTGTTGACAAAATTATCACTCTAATATTCAGTGATGATGAATACAAGTATCATGTATACATCTAAATCTTAACATTCTTGGTCTGCTTTTCATCATATGCAAGTTGTTATTGCCATCACACAGAAATTCAGGTGAAGGAGCTGAAAACAATACAGGCATAAATGTAACCTGTCATCACCAAGTTCATTTCATTGCTTGGGCTGGGGAAAATTCATACAGGAAATGATGAGGACATACAGTATATTCTCCACAGTATGTATGATGCTATCACAAAGAGGATATTCAGACACTGAAAGGAAGTCCTTTGCCTGCTTCTCTGCAACTCATTTTTGACCCCTCCTGGTTCTCAAGAGAGAACCAGGAGATCTCCAGGGCTCTTTCACTGTCCCAGTTTCCCACCTGGTCCATTCCTCCACTCACAACCTCAGAGGCCCTCTTCTTGGTACTGAGCACATGCCATTAGTCCTGCATGCTCCCTGCTGGTCCACACTATGGTGTACACATCTTTGTGTCTTGTATCCCACTTATCTCCCCTCAGAAACTCTTGCACAATACTGCATGCTGGTGTTTTCCATGGACATTGAGGTCAGTTGCACAATGGTTGTTGCCTTTGTCTTTAGACATGCTGAGTTGTCAAGTATGAATTGCAAGCTCTGTGTCCACTATCAATTATCTTGACACATTCATTCAGTTTCCTTCTTGGTAGCTGAAGCATCCAGCTGCAGAGGCAGTGTCCCAGAGCTGGAGAAACTAGGGAACATCCAACTGGGAGAAAGGGACTGTGAGGGCTTCACTGGGCCAGATCAGGTCTCTTGCAGGAGCAGCTGAGATAGGACAGTGGGAGAACACAGTGAGTTTTGAGATCAGTTGCTGAACCTCCATGTAATACTGTCTGAATTTTCAAGAACACACATCTGGGAACCAGCACCAGAAAGAGAAGGAACCTGCATTTTTCCACCTTTCTGAAAACTAATTTTACAATTATCTGCTTTTTAGGTGTTGGTATGTATTCCCACAGAGAGAAGAACAAAATATTGTGTTTTTGCAACTACTTCTGGGGTGGGAATATTATCACAGGCTCTGATAAATCCTTGAACATTTAGGAATGATTTGCTACTAGACTTATGAAAGTGCATACTTCATTTGTGGGTTTTATTACTAAGAAAAGATGAGAATAACTTTAATATTTAGATATAAAGTAACTAACTCAATATGCTATGTGAATTTATCTGTTAGCTCCTGAAGTATGTGCATATGTGGGATTTTCTTGGACATAAACTTACAATGAGACAGAGAATATGCAAATTTTGGGGACTGCCTCTATGTGAAAGACGCTAACTGAGCCCGCAAAAAACTCAGCCATGTCCTTGGAGTCCATTGCTCCAGGCACAAATATTCTACTGCATACAGGACATATGCTAGAAAAGATGGTCAGGGAGCTTTCTGTGTTCCCAGATGAAAGAAGGCCTTGTGGATATGAAAACTAGAACACATGTCCCATGAATAACAGGACTGTGCAGAACATACAGCGTATGAGCATATAGGCTGTATGCACAAGACATAAATCAATTCACACTCGATGTGCATATGTACATATGTGTGTTAAGAACCTGGCTCAAATCAGCTGTCATTCCCCATTCTGTATTTGCTCATATCATCATTCACATATTTCAGGGTTTTGAGGCCCTTAGATAAATGCTCTCATCTCATTGATTTGGGAAAAAATTGCCTCAGACACAAAAGTTGTCATAAATTGTGTAGACTATTAAATATTTGACATTCATCTGATTGTATTTCTCTTTGTGCATGAGAAATGTACTCATAATAATATGTATTCATGGGTTTATGCTAAGATACATTTATTTTAACCTCAAAGTTCCTTACCGCTTTTTTTCCAATTGCTCAGTAGATTTTTACACTTGTGTAGTGTAATTTCAGACCTTGATGAAATACAGCTTATTTTTTTGGAATATGTTTTTTCTGAAGGAAAGTGTATTACTGTGAGGATATCTAGAGCTGTCAACTTGCCACTTGGTAAGGAACAATGCTGCATAAGAAACTCACAAGTGACCACTGAACCTGCCACTAAAAGGCTCTCAGCTTAATTTTGTGGATAGTAATGTTCTTCCAGGGACTTTCACTCAGAGATTGAAGTCCACTTCTCCTTGACCATTGGTGCCTTGAAAGGTTTTCCAGTATGAAGCAGCAAGTGACCTCATGATTCCTTACTACTGAGTTCCATAGCAAACGCTTCACAGGTTACCTATTGTCAGCATGTAAAGATGCAGTGTAACAGTCTCATTTATTAGATCTCCTTAAATTATTCCTGTGTGAGCTGACATCCTTATCAATTTGTCTCTAAATCAGGATTCCTGAGTGAGTCATGATAGAGAGCAGAGCCCAGATCCATCCCTCCTCACTGGTAGACTCTAACCATAGGGACTCCTATGTGTGAACTGTGAAGAGGCACAAATGCTGGATGCAGGGGTCCCTCTGGAGGTGCCCTCCTTATCCGGGAGATACAAGCATCCAATGTCATCACATTTGTCGTTAGTGAAATTCATCTATTTTGGAGACAAAAAAGTCCATGGGAACTCTGACTTTGGATACTACTACACACTTACTCCATCATACTAATGAGCCACATCTCCATTGGGACAGGTCCTTGCCTTTCAGCAAGGTGCCCTCTCAATTCCTGGGCTGTTGGGTATCCATATTCCAGGAATTCTTTATATCCACAGTTTTTCAGGAACAGAAACTTGAATCTAGTGTGTTACATCCTGTTCACCATTCTTAGATTTCATTTTACGTTTTATTTTCTCCAGTCCGTATTTGCAGTATACAGATTGTATCCATCATGGGGAGTCAGCACTTGTCCATAACACCCCTAGGCTTTTGTCCCATTTTCCTGCCCTCCTAAAAATAGTAATAATCAGCTGGATGGAAAGGAGGTAACAGTTTAGTCAACAGTAGGAAGGACAGACAAAGAGATTAATAGGTTGCACATAGATCTCCTGAGGACAACGAGGAGAAATGGAAATAACTGTGCTGAATGTATGTAGAGCAGCAGTTGAACCTTGACATACAAAAATGTTACAGTCTGTTAATTTTGTGTGGTAACTGGTTCTGGTCTTTAATACTGGACATCTCTACCTCTCTGCTCTGAGATAACGTTTAGAGCCATTCCTGCATCCAGAATTGTGCTCTCTGTTCTAAACTGCATAGCATGGCTTTTTAGGTGTTGATATGTATTCCCACAGAAAGAATAACAAAATATAGTGTTTATGCAACTACTTCTGTGGTGGGAACACTATCACAGGCTCTGATAAATCCTTGAACAGGAATGATTTGTTACTAGACTTAGGAAAGTGCATACTTCACTTGTGGGTTTTATTACTAAGAACAACTGCCTGTGCTCTGTGTCATGGTACAGTTCTGGGTGAAATAACCAAAACTTTAAAAACATGGACACATGTAATACAGGAATAAAATCTGACTGAAATGCCTAGAGGATATGGGAGATGGGTGAAGTGATAACCAGGGACTGTGAGGGTGCTGGGTTTCATGCTTGGCTCTGCTGATGCTTCTTGACCTCCATCAGGCATTGAGAATATGAACTAAGGGTGGAAGGTGAATTTTGTGGAACATATTTGAAAGAAATTAGTTCTTCCTTAGAGTTATGTCAAGAATGTGATGCATCAGTGACCCAGAGGACCGGAAGTGCTGCTGGTTAACACTCAGGTCAGGGGTATGCAGAGATGAACACATAGGAGCTTTGTGAGCCTCAAGTTTCCATTTTTCAGATTCCAGTGGGGCACAGTGTAGAAGATGAACACAGACACACGGCACCACGCTGGAGATTCTTTGTTGGCGATGCAGGTAAAGTTTAGGAAATATCAAATATAGGTTATGCAAAATAAATCTTCTGGAAGACAAAACATGTTAAAATCTTGATTACATATGGGAAAGCAGAGAGTTCATGAACAAAAATCAAACTGCACAGGAAATGCTTCTCAGAACCGACAACTGAGATCTTGTCTTATTAAAAAGTTCTTGCATGTCAAAAGAAATCTCCAACAGAGTGAAAAGAAAACTCATGCATTGGGAAAATATCTTAGGCAACTGTTCCTCAGAAAAATAAATTCTACATAGAACATATAAAGATATTTTTTTTAAAATCAGATCTGCAAAATTTAAAGGTCCAATACAAAAATACACATTCTTCTCACATGAAGTAATACAAATGGCAAATAAATGTATGAAAAAATTTTCACCATCACTGGTTATATAGACCATATCTCTACAGACTTTAGTAACTTCCCATCCTTCTGTACACAATTTTCTTTCTGTATTTTAAATTCAAAGGAGATGAGAAAATAGCATCATCGAGCTTGTAAACACTCAACCATATTTCAATTGAAGCTTCCAGTTTGTCATGAAGTTCAATCAGTTCTGTACTTGAAACATTGTGTATGTAAAGTCTTCTCCTAACACCTGAGAAAATCAGATCTAACCGTCAGTGCCAGACGTGTCAAATCTCAGGTGGCAGTGGACTTCCCACTTGTCAACACACTCCCTCTCCCACAGCTTCACAGCCTTCCAGTCAAGGTCAGTGAAGGTCAACATGAAGCTCAAGGGGACTCACAGCATCGTTTCCAGTGTCTCTTCTCACCTGGAAACATTGTCAGATGATTTTCTGTGCAGGTGACAGTCATTGCGGTGTAGTCTGCCAGCCTTGGGTTTAAGGGGCCACTGTTTTCTCTTTCCCTTATGCATACAGTTGTTGTGATTTATGTACAATATGAATTGTGCCATCTTGATTTTTATGGAATTTGATTGTTTGAATAATTGTACAATATTGAAACAGTTGTGGTGACAGTTAAAAATACAGGAGGATTTGATTTAGGGTTGTCTCAACCCTATCATACCTGGAAATTTCAGGTATTTGTTTGTTGTCTTTTATGGGAATAAGTAAATGTGTGAAATAATAAATATGTGAACCTTACCAGGGATGTTGGCCCAAAACGAACTTTTGAAAACTTTGTTGAAAAATGTTGGGATCAACTGAAAAAAATCACAACTATTCAAATTTCTGAATGCCTTGGCTCTCAGCATCATTATTTTATTGAATAGATTTCATTTTAAAATATGTAGTTAGAAGATCATTTTCAAACAGCATGATGTGATTCTTCACTATGGGTAGATGGGAAAGTTACTTGTATGTTATCACATGCTGACAGGTAGTTCTTGTTTATTCTTTATGACCTTGTAGACTCATGGTATGTGTCTACCATAGCCAACCTAATGCCTATGTGACACATGTAAGGTCATGTAGTTAAAGCCTTTGCTTACAATTTGTACTGTTTCTCTTAATCGGTTACATATGTTAAAAACATTCAAAAATATTGTTTTCGTCACTAAGTAAAGGATACAAAATGCAAAATTCACACTCACAATAACGGATTTTCCAATTTTAAAAATTTTGTTTAAAGAGGTTAAAACTGAGGTAGATAAAACAAAATAAAACCAATCAAAATAAACCAGTTTAAGTGATACAGGACTTCTGAGCTTTATGATATCAACAATACTTACCTTCTGACTTTTGTTGTCTTCAAAATATCTGCAAATACTTTCAGACATACTAAAAATCAAACAAAACAGAATAGAGACAAAAGCAAACAATGAAAGTAATAAAGCACTCCAAAATAAGCTGATAGTAAATCCAAAATGGTTACCATAATATGTCTTGCTATCTTTTAATAGCTGTTCCTGCCATCAAATTTAACATAATCACACAAAGGAAAACAACAGAGAATAAAATCCAATCCAACAAAACAATGAAAATGATAAAGTTTCAATGTGGATGGCTTCCTGGTGAGACCTGGCCCTCTTCCCCACATCCTGCAGATGGCCCTGATTGCAGGGACAGGCTCCAGTCCGCTGGCCCCACTCCAGCAGCCGCTTGTGAATGACACTAGGATTTTCCAGTTTTGTCACAGTGCTTTACTGTACGGAAAACTAACTTTTTGGGGTTTTTTAATTAGACAACAAATTAATTATTTTGTGTTTTATGTGACATTTTATATAGTTTGGATTTTAATTCTTTTATTTATTTGCTCTTTCTATTACCCCATACTATTAATTTTTTTTTAAATGTCAGGAAGCCCAACTGAAACAATAAAATGCTTCAGTATCTTTGCTCTTGGGACAGACTCTGTGTTCCGTGTTTCCCGAGCGCCCTCTGCTGCTCCTAAGCACCCCTTCACAGAGATTTTTGTCTGGGTTCACAGAGGTTTCCCTCACTGTGTTTCTGGCACAGTAATTATAAGGTCATGTCCTCAGCTCTCAGGCTGCTCATCTGAATATTCAGCATGTTCTTGCCGTTTTACCTGGACATGGTGAATCGGCCCTTCATGGAGGCTGCGTAGTATTGATACCAATACTGCCACTGATGTATGAGATCCACTCCAGCCCTTTCCCTGAATCCCGGAGGATCCAGTGAGTGGCTTAGTTGCTAAACGTGAATCTTAAGGTCACCTAGGAGAGTCTCAGGAACCCCCAGGGCTGCACCAAGCCTCCCCCGGACTCTACTAGCTGCATCTCTGCCTGGACACCTGAAAACAGAGATACATTCTTCTCAGGAAACTGTCATTTATGTCCATTGTTTACTCGTACCACTCATTCTTTTGCTACTTATTGTTTTTTTTTTTTTTCATAAATTACAGTTTAAAATACCAAGAAACAAAACCCAGCTCAGCATCAGCTCCATGGTGGGCCATCTGTGCTCATTGATAATCAACAAGTGGAAACAGCTGGGCATCCAGGGCTGAGCTCCTCTGCAGAGCCTAGTGTGAGGGGCTGGGCTGGTTTTCATTAGCACAGGGAAGCCCCATTTGCATGGCCTTCTGTATATATGGCCATTTTTATTCTCGAAGGCTCAGTTAAAGGAGGATTCAAAGCACATGACAGTGTTTTGGAATTTGTTTTGTAACATCCCTAATATACAGAAAACATGGTTCATTCCTATGTGAATCTCATCTGTTTTTATATTGATACTAATATGTACTTAATTCCCTTTTTAATCCTCTGATTTCTTCAAGGAAACCAGAACAGACAGGTTGAAACTCAGGAGAGGCTTCCCTTACTGTGTTCTGCAGAAGGATTGATAGCCACCCTGCCTGGGAGTCTAGATTCTCTGGGTGAGGAGCAGCCTATATTCTAAGACCCTTTTTCAGATACCAACCAGGGGATAGCTGTTGGTAATAAGAATGACTCAGTTTCCCACTCATCAATCTTCCCTTGAGGCTGCAGCGCAGATGATGTCTTCAGTGTGAGGGTGACACCCCGGCTCCTGCCCTCCACCTGCACTCACAAATCTTGACTCTGGGCCTGAGACTCACTTTATACTGAGCACAGATTAAATGCAATGAAAGGATGCAGGCAGGGTGTACACTGCAAGTGTTTGTCCTTGGAACACCATGGACCTGCAGGTGTTGAGGCCGGGCAGCCCAGAGAGTCATCACACCTGGCACATGGATCATTTCATGGACTCCATGGCTGCAACCACTGCTTATGTAAATTATCAAGGCTCCAGGAGAAAGGATATTCCAGGTCAGGGCAGTGCAGCTGCCGGTTCTCTGCCCCTTCAGGTTGGGAAATCTGTCCCTCAGGAAAAATACCTTCATTAGCATCCAGAAATTCAGTATCTTCAGTTTCCTCAGAATCCTCCTATAACTCTCAATCCCAATTCATGGGGTCTCATTCTTTTCCAACCAGTGCCCTCACCTTTGCTTCTGATATTCTTCCATGCTGAGCATTAAATTTACATTATAGTTCAGCCAATTGAATTATGAGGGACTCTGTTTGGGTTTCTGCAATCTCAGCCTTGCTGCTAAAAGTGAGGAGATTTTCACTTATGACACACTGAGAAACTTTTAAATTTCTTATCTGTTTTTGGAGATATCATTTTTCCCTCATTAGTTTGTCCAAAGAGGCTAAGACCAACTTTCCAGCATCATTATATTGTCTACTTCGCCAAAGATATTCAAAATTGTTTTGTATAGAGTCACTCAATTTCTATCATCTCACAATTGGTGACTTAGGATGATCAAATGGATCTATTAGATGTATTAGTTTAAACAATTCATGAAAAGGATTGTAAGTGTATTCCACAGAAATAGAAGCAGAGACCTTGGTGTCTTCAGGTCTTACCAAATTGCAGGAACCAAATTGCACCAACTCCAGGAACCTCTAACGCCATTAAAGAATGCCATTGTTATAATTCTGTTTCTCTAGAACCACCCCAGTCTCAGTACCAAAATCTATACTGGCCAAGGTTTTACTAGAGAGAACAGATATAACACACCATATGCAGAAACAACAGGATTGGCTTATGATAGTCAGCCACAGAGTCCAATGAGGAAACCTGCAGAGGGTGTCTATGCACTGGAGGCTCAAGATTCAACCCAAAGTCTGGAGTTTACCCTAGTGTCTTGTGCAAGTCCACACCAGCAGGCTGATGGGTCTGTGACAGAAGGCCGGAGGCTCTGTGATGAAAGGATGAAGAGTCTATGCTGGAAAGCTGAAGAATCTATGCTGGAAGCCAGGAGATGAGATCCAAACCAAAGGTGAAGACTGGAGCCTCTCCCAAGAATGGAATGCATTCATACTTCCTCTTTCTCTTTTATACCTTTACATGATACAATCAGATACCCTAGGATGGGTCTTCTTTTACAGCCTTGGGTGGAGAATTTCTAAATCCATTTAGTTAAGCTTCTAAATGTCTCAAGCTGACACAATCAATCAAGCACTACAAAGTGCATCTTCAAATGTCCATTACAGTGCCTCATTTCTTATGGTACCCACACTCCACTCTTGAGTGCATCCTATATCTATCTCGAATGACTTCTTCTCAATTTCCTAAAAAAATGAACAATGTAAACAGTGTGTTGTGCCTCTTCCTGATACCTCACTATACCCTAGTGTGTAGATTTAGTTAACGATCATGTGACATTCAAAAAAACTTAGATTCTCAAAATGTACTTTGTGTTTTACTGGCAACTTAAGAAAAATCATATGAAACACATTAAAAATATGTATACAAACACACATATATTTTTAATCTCTTTCATATGACTTTTCTTAAGTACTTGTATCATGAATACTTCGTAAGTCATCTAAAGCCTGCGTATTTCAAGTCCCTTCCTGTTATGTGATGTTGACACACTGAGGAAACCCCAGAGGCCAACAGAAAACATTCAGTCCTCTGCTTGCTGCTCTGTACCTGCTCCTAGGCCCTGGTCTGTGCTCCGTAGGACCCATCACCCTCTGATTGTCTTTTGTCATTGACCTCAATATAAGGGTATGTTAAGGAAATGTCCTAAGAAATGTTTGTGCTCCACATATATTTTTGTTTGGCTACACTATGGAGTAACAGTCCAATTTCCCTTAGATAGCTTAAATCAATCTCCCGTGACCCACTACAGGTCCCTTTTAAGCTTAAGAGGAATGAGGCAGGAGGGGCTCAAAACAACCAAGGCAAATCCCCAGCTTCTGGACCTGTTAAATCATCATTGTGTTGCATGGTACCAGCCTCCCCACTCCTTTGAAACTAAGATATCTAGGCCAGAAGTGCACACTGATAAGTTTATATACAAAAGATGAGAAGTATAAAACAAAAGGGCCTTTATTATGAAAAGATGGTGAGAGAAAACCA